AATGTACTAACCATTGTTACTCTCCTAAAATCTTGTTTTGAGATTTTGTACCATTGTTTTTATTTTTTTTCTTTAAAATAAAATAACATGTCAAAAAAAAAGAAATATTCTTTCAAGAATCTTTACTGTATCACTACTCGGCCTTTTGGCTAAGATCAAATGAAGAATCTTTACTGTGACACAAAGCCTAGTAGAAGTACTAGAAGCAAGAAAAAGCAACATGTGGCCAAGATTAGCTTTTTTGTAGAGAAAATGTTAAGTTTTACAGTAAATATTAAATAATTATTTTACATTTTAAAGTTCACTAATATAAAATTGAAAACGGGCCAGGTGTAGTGGTGCACACCTGTAGTCCCAGTACTCAAGAGGCTGAGATAGGTGGATCACTGTGAGTCAAAGGACAACCTGGGTTACATAGTGAGTTCAAGAGTACCCTAAACTACATAAGGAAACTCTGCCTCAAAAAAAAAATGAAAAAATTAAAAACTTAAGCCTTTGGAGTCAGACTTTAATATAAAAGTAAACTGCAGTTAAACATTAGTTTTATAATATTTAAAATGGGGACAAATATCCACCTCCAAGTGTTGCAAAGATCCCACTAAGCAAAGGTGGATATTTTGCTTCATTCTTACGGTTGGAGCTCAACTAGTGGAAGGTCTCAAATACTGTGAGCTCCAGCCCAGACTGTGCAACCTAGTGATGTAACAAAAGCCTCTCTCAAAATAAAAAGTAGAAGAAAGACTGGGAGTGCTGCTTTGTTGAATGCTCTGGATTCAGTCCCTACTACCACAAAAATAATAAAATAAAATAAAAGCAGAAGCAATTAAAAGAGATAGATCATACACCCTATCCTATACCAGTTCAGGCCTCTAAAGACATAAATCCACCCTAACTTACAAGAAAAGAAAGAAAACTTCAGCTCAAAGGTTGCAATTTTGAAATGAGTAGGTCTAGGTCTTAATTATCAAATCAAGAAAATTTGAATACCCAAAAGTGATGGCAGCAACAGAATTAGCTCATGCAAAGACAGAGACACTTATTCTCTCTCTTCCACTCTCACTATATCCAGTCACTCGCCAACTCTTGACAATTCCCAATGTCTTAAAAAGCCCTCAACCTGTCTCTCTCTTATTTCATGCCCTTAGCATCTGTTATGTGTGTTCTTCACAAAGCCCTTCTCCAAAGAGCCATAGTGAATCTTTGTGTAGCAGATAAAGCACCTGCTTCGGTAGAGCACAGCAGCTGGAGTTTGATTCCCAGCCTGCTGTGCCGACCCACCCCCTGATTGAGACTAGGCATGGTGGCACGCACCGGTAATCCCAGCACTTGGGAGGCTGAAAACAGGAGAATCACTATGAGTCTAATCGATATAGTGAGACCCTGTAGACCCTGTAGACCCTGTACTAAATACAAAAAGAAGAAGAAGAAGAAGAAGAAGAAGAAGAAGAAGAAGAAGAAGAAGAAGAAGAAGAAGAAGAAGAAGAAGAAGAAGAAGAAGAAGAA